AGGAGGATGATCTTGGCTGAGCCACCTAGAGGGGGAAAACAAGGACAAACGTGATTAATCTTACAACAATATTGGGTTAAACAACGCGCTGCCTCAGAATTACAAAGTTCTATTTGACATTTTTGGGCTGTTTTCAGATACTAAGACCACGAGATCAGAAGGCAAAGGTTCTGTCTGCTCTATCAAAGCGGTAAAAATAGTCGGGGTCGTTTTCAAGATATTCGAAGAAATGCATTCGAAAAGGCTTGAAAATTGTGAAACTCAAGAATTTTGACTTCAAATTTTCCCCCAAAAAAGATATTGGGCAGATTCAACTAATTCTGGGGTACTCTCTCTCTCTCTCTCTCTCTCTCTCTCTCTCTCTCTCTCTCTCTCTCTCTCTCTCTCTCTCTCTCTCTCTCTTCCTCTCTCTCTCTCTCTCTCTCTCTCGTTCTCTCTCTCTCTCACTCTCTCTCTCTCTCTCTCTCTCTCTCTTTCTCTCCTCTCTCTCGCTCCCTCTCTCTTCCTCTCTCTCTCTCTGTCTCACCTCTCTCTCTTTCTCTCCCTAGCTCGCTTCGCGCTCTCTCTCTCTCTCTTTCTAGTTCCCTCTCACTCGGTAGCTCTATCTCTCTCTCGCTCTTCCTCTTTCTCTCTCACAATGTCCCTTTCCTTCTTGCATATTTGGTACTCAACTGGTTAAGTCAAATGTACGGGTAAACCACGTGCTAACCACAAGTTTCCCTCATAAAGAAGTACATACATTTTGTGAGTTCATTTCTGCATTAGTAGGTTAATATTTGCTGCTCTGGGGTCATAACCCTGTAACATGCTTTAAGTTTAATCTACAGAGACAAATAGGTCTTTTCTCACCTAATTTGAGACTCAGAGTAACGTCCAGATTCACAAGCTCCACTAGCAGGACATGGGTGCCTGGATTACTGAACATCTCGCTTGAGTGTCTAATTACCTAGCCAGGGTATCAAAGACGTATAACCAAGAATCTTTAGCTCTCTAACCCCCTCCCCCCCCCCCCAAACGTTTTCGAATCAAGTATATTATAAATGTACAATCTTAGTTCTGCACCTCCATTCCCCTTTTCGAACCAAGTGTCTTATCTGCTGTATCATTCCCTTTCGATTAAGGGCTGGTGGGGCACCTAGAAATCGTGTTTTGGTGTCAAATTATGCAAATTGGGGTTATTACATATTATAGTACCTGGACATTTCCTGAACAATATCCACAAACGTATGTTAGCTTTCCTACACCCTAAAGCAGTGTTTTTGTTCCAGATTTTTCTGCGAAAGCACATGTTTTGCAGCCTTTTCTTACCTTAATCGGTTATTTTCTCACAATTCTATTTTTTCACACATTATCCATTTTTTCTGCTCTGTTTCTTGTTCAATTTCAATGTAACTTTCACAGGATAACAACAACACCTAGTTCTAAATTTTGGCTTTTGAATTTTCGATAAATGGAGTAGTTTTTTATTTATGGGCTTAGAAAGCATGACTTTTCCATTTTTATCAATTTTTGGCAAAAACCCAAATGTAAAAATAAAAACTAAAGCATATATATAAAATTCAACAAGCCAAATTTAAGAGCTACATATTTACTGTTGGCAAACCACATTATAAGTGAATCAGTTAATAAATAAGGGAATAAAATGGGATTGAAAAAGTATACAAAATCCAATATGGCCGCCATTTCCATAGCAGCCAATTCACAATATACTTTTTGAACTATTGATTTCAAATCCCCAATAACACACGATGTCCCACAGCAAATATGGGCACTCTAGGCCTTGTAATAGCCAAAATAGACCTCAGGTGCCCCACCAGCCGATTCAAAGGCCAAAGCTCTGTGCCCCCACCCACCCTCACCCCACTTTACCACTTTCAAATCAAGAATCATACCTCTTTATCCCCACCCCTTCCGACCCCAACACACACACACACACACACACACACACACACGCACACACACACACACAAACACACACACACACACACACACACACACTCAATCGAGAGCTGAACCTCTCCGGCGGGTTTGGTTGGTGCGCGCCAAACGAAAAACACAACATTTTATAATTCAAGAAATTAGCTCTGTCCCCCTCCACTCCTCCCCAACTCCAAACCCTTTTTTCAAATTAAGAATCGTACCCTTACCCTCCCGTTGCGGCACTGGAAAGCAAGCCGAAGGACGAAGGAGGCCAACATGTTCAGAGAGGTGACTCACTGTTGTCTAGTACGTCTTGAAGAAGCTGGCCTTCTGATATCCAGGGAGTTCAACATCTACCATGTCGCGAGCCTCACCGGCCACTTGCGGACCTATAGAAAGATAAAAAGAAATACAAATACACGTATAGATCTAGATCTGGTCAAAAATGTTCAAGACATTCATCCGTTGTCGGGGGAAAAAATGTTAAAATAGACAGGTGAATACCTTGGACGGTATCCTTATAATTGCTTTAAAAACGTAAAAGGTGGCGAGGGAAGCGGGCATTTGTACAGGTGATTGTCTTGGACAGCAGACCGTTAACACAGGTTCGACTGTACAGGGTTTCTACATCAGTATAATTTTATAAAATACTTCTGTATTTCTATCTACGTTGGCCCAATTGGTATCATTCTGGACTTCCGAGCGGATGGCTGTGGTTCGAATCCTTGACTGGACGTTCTAGAGCTCGGGCTGTTTCGTGGAGTTTTCAAAGCTCTAAACCTATTTGACTCGATCCTATCGGAGATGGACGTTAAATTCGAAGTTTCTGCCTCTTAAATAAATTATAGTGTTGATAGGGGCATGGAAGGGAAGCTTCACTTAGACATTTTAAAATGTCATGAAATTTGCTGTAAACTTGAGATACAAGAATTGTGAGAAATTTAAGTTCTTAAAAAGTGAGAAAATTGCTTCACACTTTGGAATGACAAATATAATGATATGTACAGTAAGTAGCAAAACACCGAAAGTCATATTAAAAATGGTTATATCATCAATGTCTTTGTCTTACTCTGTCTGTCTGTCTGTCTGTCTGTCTGTCTGTCTGTCTGTCTGTCTGTCTGTCTGTCTGTCTGTCTGTCCATCATCTCCTCTACATTCTCACACACACACACACACACACACACACACACACACACACACACACACACACACACACACACACACATACACACACACACACATACACACACATACACCATGACGTTTGCGATAATTTCAAACTGATCCTTCAACTTCTTGACAAATCCTCTATCCATCTATTTTTTAAATCTAAAACAGCGTGAGTTTTATACGTTTTTCACCACAGGGGTGTTATTATAGATCTCACCTTCTAATTAACTAATTCCCATCTCTGATAGGATTGACGAAGGCAGGTGAGCGGAGACCAACAAAACTCTGAAAGAGATTCATATGTAGTTGACACATGCCTGAGATTCAAACTAAGGTTGCCTGCGTTGCAGTCCAGCAGATGGGATAACGACATACCCAGATCTACCCGTTAGCTCACAATTTAATGAATGAAACGAGTACCCAAAACTGTATTAAGCACATCAAACTCACGCTGCATCTTTCGTCATCTGGCATTCCATCAACCTGTCAAACACTTTATCTATTGTTATGACAGAAATCTGTCCGTCTGTCTATTCAACCCATCGTCCATATTACAATATGTCTGTCTACCTATATAAACTAAATGAGTACACAAACGTGTCCCCAGTACATCAACCCCTAGTTGCATTAACCATTGTCTTTCCGTCCCCTCACATACAAGACACTTTGTCTGTCCATTTACTGATTGTCTTTCGATTTACCCCCACCCCTCCCTTTTTTTCTCAACCCGTCTATTCTGTCTGCGTAGGGTAGGTGTCTGTCAAGCTATTATTTATTTATATGGGCTAAATTCGTCGACAACACAAACCTGTGCCCAGAGCAACAATGACAAGTTCTGTGTCGTCCACTATGGAAGGCACGACGACCTTGTCATATTTTGTGCACGGTGTGCCGTCGTTGCACACTTGTGCGTATTTGATGTCAGGATACAGAGACCTCAGGCCGTCCAAGGGCGTTTGGGTGAAAGACGGATCCTGTTTAGGGGAATAGCCTCCAAAGATCTGTCTTGTGTTGTTAGCCATTGGCCCTATGATCTGAGAAGGGGAAGGTCAATCATACATATTATAATGATAATAGATGATAATAATAATAATAATAATAATAATAATAATAATAATAATAATAATAATAATAATAATAATAATAATGATAATAATAATAATAATAATAAATAGTATTTGTATACGCGTATCCCCGCTCGAAAGCAAGCTCTATGTGTTTTACATACTGTATTATTACCCCACACTCCTTTATGGATCTGAAACATGGACCTTGTACAGCTGACAAGAAAAGCGCCTTGACATTTTCCATCTCAGATGCTGCCGCAAAATCTTAGACATTTCGTGGCGCGACAAGCTTACAAATGTTGAAGTGTTGGCACGGGCAAACCCCCCAAAGCATGACAACCATCCTGTGTTTAAAAAGATTGAGATGGCTGGGCCATGTCAAAAGAATGGACGACAACCGGATTCTGAAGCAACTTCTCCATAGAGAACTTGCCCAGGGAAAGAGACCAAGAGGAAGACCAAAATTGAGGTACAAAGACACCTGCAAAAACAGCTTATCTAAGCTTGGAGTAGATGTTAGCATCTGAGAAGAAATAGCTGAGGACAGGAAAACATGGAGGAAAATGATAAAGGAAAGAACTATAATGCTAGAGAGCAGCCGTAGATACAACCAGGCTGAGAAGCGCCATGGACGAAAGAAAAACAGCGGAAATACAGAGCTTCAATCTATGCCACTGACATGCAAGCACTGCCACAGAATCTGCGCTTCAAACATAGGAAGAATTATCCATGAAAGAAGCTGCATGAAGACAACCTTGAGACCATCTTAAGCTAAATTGACCGTCTGAATAGATGAAAAGAGCCATATATTACCTCAGCAGACCATAGAACACTCAGAAATATTCTTAGCTTCACGGAAAGCATACAGTGCAAGAAGGTGATTAAGCGGTTAAACACTAACAAACTAACAAGATATTTCACTGTCTTTAGCTGGGTAGCCATTCCAACCTGGGTGAAGTCAGGAAAAGTTGTGTAAAGTGCTTTTCCAACGGATACAGCTTCGAGTCCCTGACGGGATTTGAACCCAGAACCTTACGATTGTGAGTCCGAGCGCTTAACCACTAAGCTACCGACGCCAAAAGACGCCTAATCGTATAAGACAAGATGAACCTTTACAATTGACAGAAGGAAAACTATTGTTTTTTGTACTTTTTTGTTTGTTAATGTAAGACGCAAATAAAATCAGACACGTCTCTTGATGTAGGTCCTCAGTTCATTTGAAGCTATGGAATTGCAGGATCTCTCTCTCTCTCTCTCTCTCTCTCTCTCTCTCTCTCTCTCTCTCTCTCTCTCTCTCACACACACACACACACACACACACACACACACACACACACTCTCTCTCTCTCTCTCTCTCTCTCTGTGTCTGTGTCTGTTTCTCCCTCCTTTCTGTCTGTCTGTCTGTCTGTTTGTCTGTATGTCTGTCCGAACGTCCGCCCGGGCGTCCGACCGTCTGTATGTCTGAGTGACTGTCTATCTGTCTGTCTGCCCCCCTCCTCCGATCTCACCCTCTGTATATGAGTGTGCGTGTCGTGTGTGAATCGATCTGTGATAAGATCAAAGTTGTTCTATAGAGCGGGCTGGGGAATGTGTGGTGGGGAATG